CTCGCCGACGACGCAGGCAGCGCCGCGGCAGCAACCGATCCCGCCTGCCCCTCGCATCCTATGGGGCCGCGACATCGATGCAGCAGCGAGCGCGCCAGCCGACGACGCTTCCGAGCTCGACAGCAGCGCGGACAAACTGACCCACGGGGCAAGCGGGAAGACTCTGCGATCGCGAAGCACTTCGTTGGCACCACGCAGCGCGCGCGACTCGTGTTTCCCCGGCGGATGGGCCGCCTGCGCGCGCGACGCCAGGGACAGACAAAAACGGACGCGACGGCGACCGATGGCATTGCTCGGTCTGTCACCACGAGCAAACCAACACCTACAGTTACCAATTCCAAGATGACCTCCCACCCCTGTCAGGCTGGCACAGGCGCCCAGACAAGTACAACAACGAGCTTCTCATGCGCCAAGAACGGAAACAATGCCTGCGCCCCCCCCCGCCCCCAACGCGGCCTGACCCGCATGCAATTCCCACCCGCTCGTCTAACCAAATATTTTACCGTCAAGAACGCAACGCCAGCCGACAAACACCATTCCCCAAGCAAGCCTACATTCAGAGAAACGCGACCCCGGCTAGGCAACGACCTGGCAGCCTATGCCCCCCACATCCGCAATAACGAATAATTCAGACTGGCAGCAGTCATCACGAACAGCCACGTCCACTCGCTGCTCACAGGCGACCCAGCACCACTGACTCACAGAACCATACGCGCCATCCAGGTTGCCTCGTAGTGGCACAGTTCACGCCACAATGACGATGACATTTTGCGAACTGTATAGTACGCAAGAAACAACTTCGCCCCTGCGCAAACATGCAACCCGACAGCAGCGCGCAACCTTGCACGCCACGGCCAACATCATGCACTCATGCTCACCGGCTCGAGCGACGACGGCGGCGCCCCGACCGAGCCCAGCGCACCTTTCGAATGGCTAGACACGCGCTCGAATGCAACAGCACCTTCGCCAATACCACCTGCTACGATTCAACGACCACCGCGGCGACCGCCGACTTGCGACCGGGCGACTGCTTCGGGCGCACCCACACCAAAAACACCACCTACCAAGGCCATCACACTGACGGTACCTATGGCGCGCGTTCGCAAGGCCCCGTATACATCCACCGCCACTTGACTTCAGGATCCCACATGTTGCGGCCCGCCATTTGAAGACGCCAGGGCACAAAGGCGGCCCCGAGAGATTCCCGCCAGAGAGTAAGCACCGCAGACTTACGCCACCAAGCAGGAATATTCCCCGACCAACGCACCCCCGGGCACACTTGCAAGCACCGCAACGCGGCCACCCCCTCGGGTCGACATCCACCATCTCGGTCGCACCTGCGCCCGCGACATCGGCGACCCGCGCTTCCCTGGGCGCATCGCCATAGCGCGAACGCGCCCATCGCTGCCCGAACACCACCGTGCCGAAGTCCACCTCCACAACCTGCGCGCGGCATGCCGCTCGAGCACCCGTCGCGCCGAACACGGGCGTTTTGCTGGTCTTCCAGGCACCTCCGAGGCCGAAGCGGCACCAGGCCAGCGCAAGTGACGGCTGCACCAAGGCGTGATGATCCACGCGCTGGATACGACGTTGGTTCATTTATTGGGATCCCACGTGCCGATAAGGGAGCGGACAGCGCGCGCCGCGCAATTTGGTTTGCCCACGGCCTCCACGGCAGCCGCCGCGACGGCTTCGATCACTGCAGAGCGCCAGTGGCCGACGCCCCCCCCCTGCCCCCCTTGTCTGTCTGGCCGCCTGATTCACCATGACCGCTCCTGCCGTCGTCATCGCCTTTCCACTCGCCACCCCCCTCCCCCGCCCCCTTCGCGGCCGGGGTCGCTCGACTTGCCCGCGCGGCCACGCGCGGGCACCTCCCCCCCGCAAGGAGCCGCGCCCTGGATGCACATGACACATGTTCTCTTCTCGTTCGGTGACTCGCGCCTCCTGGCTCTCGCGGTTGCCCGATTGCCTTTGCACTGGTTGCTCCCGCCTGACTTCAGAGACGCTACAGTGGGGGGTGGGGGGGGAGCGTTGGTGAAGGACTCGTGCCCGCGGAGGCACCTGACCCACGGGGCAAAGAAAACCATCCCAAAAAGGCAGCTGCCGCGCGCGCCCCTCTTCCCCCAACCATCGCCTGCGCAGCCCTTTTCCCTTACCTCTGTTGCGCCCGTCCCCGCTCGATTTGCGCTGCCGTCTGCCGGCGAGCATTCAGTGCCAGGAGGCGGCATTTCCCGCGCGCCGATGGTGGCGCCTGACCCGCGGGGCGACCCCGCATTTTACGGAACAGTTGCCAGCCTGCGACAGCACACAGGGGGAATGCGGACCAGTTAGGGAGGGTGCGGGCGGCGGGGTTCTTTTCGCTTTGAGCGCCACGGCCCCAGTCAGGCAGCGGGCCAACCTGCCAGGCCAGCCTTTCGCACCTACGAGTGCACTCTTACATTCTCTGCCTCCTGCTTTCCTTTCGGGGCGCCCTGGCCCTTGGAGGGGGCAGGGGGCACCCTCCCCCTTCGCGAGGTTTTCCGCGCATCCACAGCTTCGCCCCAGCATCCCTTGCACCTCGGGCGCGGCCCAGCGCCAGCAGGCCAGCCTGCCAGGCCAGCCTTGATTCGCAAGGCGTTGCCATGCAGCGGCCGAGCTGAGCCCGAAAAGAACCCGCAAAAAAGCACGAGGGCCATGTGGCCAAGGAGTCTCGGGGTGAACCGAAAAACCTTGGGCTGCAACCCAAGGACTGCTACAGCTTGCACTGTCCATGCCTGACACCCACTGCTGCACTGCTGCGCGCATTAACCTCGCGCGCGTTCGTCGCATTTGCTTGCGGCAGTCCTCACTTGCCACAGTTCGCAGCGCGCCCGAATCCATATTCAGCGGGGTGGCGGGCTCGTGTTGTTCGGAGGAGGATGTTCAGCGCGGAAAAGCGGACTCGCTTACACACTTTTCGGGATCAATTGACCCCCTGGGCAGGACTGACCCCGCATGCTACGGATGCGGTTCATATGGTTTTTCATGCAGCAGCAGCGTGTTCTCACTGCCTGATGAGAGCGCACCCCTGCACTCCTCTCATTTCCTCACTGCCGCCTACGCAGCAGCAGCTCTCAGCACAGCAGCTGCCATCGCCTACGCAGCCTCGTTCGCGCACCTTGCTGCGCCCATCCTCACTCGACCCACGCCACTGCCAGCCTGCACCTCTGCATCGGACGGGGGAGGGAGGGGGGGAGGGGGGCGGGCGGTTAAGCACTGGGGGGGTGTTCGTGGATACCCTTGGGGGCACCGGACCCTCGGGCCAGGGAATACCCCGTACCTTACGGCTACTGCCCAGCCTGCAGATCTTCTTTACAGAAGTAGCCCGCCGCCAAACTTTTCACGGTTACAGCTCAGCTTGCATGTTTCGATGCAGTTGCATTTCGCTTTCCTTGCTTGACGAGAGCGCATTCATGTATTCATCTCTCCCTCCCACTGTCGCCTAAGCAACCGACATCGCCCGCGCAGCTTCGTTCCCGCACCTTGCCGCGCCCGGCCTCATTCGACCGACGCTTCTGCCAGCCTGCAGTTCTGCATCGGGGTAAGTTGTTACATATTCGGGGTGGTCGCGGATACGGAGGAATCGCAATTTCGGGAGCACCTGACCAACAGGGCCGGGAAGACCTCGCATCTTACGGCTACTGCCCAGCCTGCAGCTCACGTTTATCGCGGCAGCCCGCGATATTTATTTTTCATGGCGGCCTGTTGGGCCAACCGCGCAACCTTGCATTCACTCGGTTACTCCGCTTGCAAAATTGACGGGTCATTGCTAAGGTGGGCGGGGGGTGGGGCACCAAGGTCAGGGTAGCCTAGCTCTACCACCTGGCCGGCGCCAGCTCTGTTTACTCTTCTTCTCCGCAGTGTTTCTATTTCTATTGTTGCGGCGCGTGCTGGGTGGCCTGCTTGTGCTTGTGCGTCAAGTCGGTTTCAACCTGCGCATCTCATTTTTCCGAACGACAACAAGAACTACAAAACTCATGTTGGTCTAACGTAAACAGCAGGAGTCGAAGCGTCGGCATGGGTAGAAACAGCTCACGCACTTGAATGTGTGGGCACGCACGGGCACATCGTAGAGCAATCGAACAGAGCACCTCGTTGTCGGGGCGGTGCGTGCATCCGTCGCATCAAGGGTTCTGCGACGGCTCAAGAACTCCACCTTTGCGGGTCCATTTCGACGCTGGGGCACGGGCGCGCCGAGCATGGGGGCGTCCACCCGTTTGCAGTCACCGTTGTAATTCTGACCCCCAACCAGTGTTCCGGAAATCTGACATGAAAGTTTCGAGTTCAATGTGGTTATTCAAGAGTTGCACCTCTTCAGATTCGCGCGTCACGAGAGGAGCCCGTAATTTTTATTCTTTCCCGACAAACACTGCCATTGGGGGAGAGGGGTCGGTAATGTCATAGGTGGCACCCGCGCCGTTTGAGAGACAGCTTCCCCTCGTCATTCCCAGACGGCACTGGCGCGCATGGCGGCGCTACCAGGTAGGGGGAAGAGAGGCATGCCGGGCGGGGCTAGGACCAGGATAAATCGCTCCAGAGACTTCCCGAACACTCTCATAGCGTTCGGGAGCGCTCTGGAACAGCAGCGACGCCCGATGAATTGTCCAGAACCGCCAGATTTCGAAGATCCCCGATTCATCCCCGTCCGATTTTGTCTTGGTCCTGTCTTCGTCTTCGGATGGGGCGTCCCCAGTATCGGGCGCTGTCGCGAATCGCTACAAAACAGCGTTCAAGCGAACTCGGTGCGCCCGTCGTCGGACGGGGTTAGGACGAGGATGAACCCTGTCATAGCGTCCCGAAACGGTCGCAGAGCGTTCCTGAGCGCTATGAAAAGGCCGCGGTGCCCTAGACATCCTTCAGTTCTGCTTGATCTCAGAGTTTTTCGGTTTATTCTCACCCCATGTTGTCTTCGGCCTGGTTTCGTCTTAGCCTGGGGCTGTGCGTGCAGAGCTGCGGTCATCGCCCCTCCTTCGCCCCGGCAGGTTCTTCGGCGACGGCGCCGCCTGGGAGAAGGCCGCCGCGCGTCTTCGGCCACTGTGTCGGTTCGAGCGAAGGAGAGGCTTGGTATCGTTCGGACGTGTGCATGTGTTCTTCGTGCGGACCATCGAGGAGCGTCTTGAGGCGTCCGAGCCATGGCGAGGGGGATTGGGAACTCGGGCGGGGCCACGACGAGGACATATCCGTTCCGGGGCGTCCCGGAACGCTTCCAGAGCGCCCGCGGCGCTTCCGACAGCTTCCAGAGCCGCCGGACCTCAGAGATCCCCGACCTGTTTTCGCCCAAAGTTCTCCTCTTGGCTGCGTGTTGATTTGGGGAGCCGGGGCGGGGGAGATGGCGAAAGCTGCTGCGCGCAGCGGCTCTCGGCCCGGCCGCCGGGCGCCCTGTGGCAGTGCTGGCTCATGCTCTGCCTCGGGGTGAGATTCGGCGAGCCGTCGTCGACGAGTCGGGCCGCACCTCGCTCGCGAGGCGTGGCCTGCCGAGCTCGTCGATCCGTCGGTCTGCCCTGCGTGTGCTCTTTGCGGCCGCCCCTCGCCCGCCCGCCCCCCCCCCCGCCCCTGCCAGGTGCGCGGCGCCCTGGGCGACCTGCGCCTCTGCCTGGAGGCGCCCCCGCCCTCCCCCTCCAGGCCCTGGGCCCAGGAGGGGTGCAGAGCACACAGACAGCACAGTGGAGCGTCGATTCCCCGGGAAGTGGGCGAACATCTGGGACGTGGGGGGGAAGGCGAGAGTCAGAGACATATAGGAAAAGATGCGGAGTCCCGGGATTTGTGTGTGTGTGTGTTTGTTTGTGCGCCCCTGGGCTCCTTCACAGACCTCTGACGCCGTGCCGTGCTCGCAGCGTGGACCCCAGGAGGTCTCGATGGTGGCGCCAAGGATCCACGAACCACATGGGATGGGGATGCCCAGACATCTGGCGTCGTGATTTTGTTTCACAATCCTCCATCCTGCGGCCGGCACAGGGGGCGGGGGTCTGCCTCTCTCTCTCTCTCTCTCACAGGCCACGGTCCACGCCATAGTTTGCCTGTTGCAGGTCGGTCCTCGGGGTGTTCATGGTTTGCCTGGCGACTCCTTCAATCACACGGCGGGTGAGATCGAGTGGATCGTTTGGCGGTCGGTTGTCTGCGGCAAAAAAGAGCGCGGTTCTCCAGCGGTCTGGACCTCTCCTCCGGATTCCCCAGGACAGCGCGTTTCACCCCGAGTCGTTTTTGAGACGATCCCGGGCCTCGAATGGGGGCCCTCGAGACCGAGCGTTGCAGCAGCAGTGAGAACAGTGCCCGTCGCGTTTTTCCCCCAGCTCGGCGTCAGGAGGTTTGGGCCCCACGCCCCGCGGGCACTCCCCGGGGGCCTCTCGGGGGGGACTGTGTTTTGGTCGCCTTGGGCGTCTCCTCGGGTTGTGGAACCGCTCGGCTCGGGGCTCGCGTGAAGCCGTTCGGGCGCTCATGGTGCGCTCTGGACGGCGTCCAGGGGCCAACCTGGGCCGTCTGGGGACTCCCTTTCGGGCCGTCTTGGGGCTCTCTTGGGGCTCTCCTGGAGCCGTCGTGGGGCGATCTCGGGGGGCCTGGGATTACCTCGGACGTCGAGAAGGCCGACAAAAGATGTTACACCGACATCATGCAGACACAATTTGGGTATGAACGCCTGTTTGCGTTCGGGAGATCTCCTTCGGGGATTGTTCTGGTGGTCTTGAGATCCTGGTTTGGGGGGCCGCTCGGGGCTCTCGCAACTCCGTTCGGGCGCTCTCTGGGTGCTCGGGGGGGAGTCTTGGGGCCAGCTTGGGCCGTCGGAGGGCTCGCTTCGGGCCGTCTGGGGGACCTGTTGGGTGATCTTGGGGCTCTGTGGGTTAGCTCGAGGCCGTCTTGGGGCGAGAGCTTGGGGGCCTGTTGGGCGGCCCCGGACGCCCGGAAGACGGAAGAAGCGGCTATACCAGTGCAGGCACCGCGAACCTCCATCGTCGCTTCGTGTTCGGGCCTCTCGGAGGTCGTCCGTGGGTCCTCTTCGGCCGTCTCGGGGCTTCGGGGAGCCGCCTCGTGCTCCCGTGGGGCCTTTCGGTAGTTCTTGTGACTGCTCTGGGCTCATGCTCTCGGCCCGCCAGGTCCGAGGCCCGAACACCATCACCTCACCAATTTTGGGCCCCAGGGCCCACTGAGGCCCCAGGGGCCCCAGATTAGTGAACGGATGTTTTTTCCCACGTAAGGACCCCGAAGTTCATCACTTCACTAAACTTAACCCAGGACGAAAGTCAGGGGCCGAATTGCTGCTGTGATGCAACACCGGCCTCGTGCCAGGGGCATCCAGGAGTCTCGCGAAGCCGAGTGTGCTCGTGCGCGTGTGGTGTGTGTTTCGGCCATCGGGGGCGGCCCACGCAGGATGCATCTCTCTCGAGGCCTCCGACCAGTGCGACCACGAAATTGGCATGGTGTGTGCAGGGGGCTCGGCTGGTGCACTGAACACCTCGCTCTCGCCTTCTCCCGAGTGGCTTCGGAGGTGGACAGAGCCCCCAACAGTGACACGCCGATTAGTGAATTGTCCGTTTTCGGTTCTCGAGATGGCGCCGTGGCCGTTATGTTCCAGGCTTGCGCCCGCCAGGTTTGGGCCTCAGATCGTTTTCGCTAAACCACGTTGTACTAAAGGGGGGTCTGTCCATCCCCGAAGTGCGCCCCCCCCCCCCGCCCCACCGGGCTGCGCCGTGGGGCGGGGCAGGCGCGGCTGGCTGCAGGGAGAACCTGCCGTCGCAGGCGGGGAGGTGGACACCAGCACCAAAACCAGCTGTGTGCCTCCACCGAGGGAAGAAAGATCCCGATCTCGGTGATGGTGGCAATATTCTGGCTGCCAAGGCGACCGAAACATCACCACCAGCGCCGAGATCCAGGATCATCTTCCCCCTGTGGAGGCACCCCCCTGTGTTGACGCTGGTGCCCATTCCCAGGCCTCCAACCAGGGAGGTCTCGCGCACTCCCGAAGGGCGCCTCGTGGGCGCCTCGTGCGACGGGTCGGTGTGCCGTGGCCTCGCCCGCCAAAGGGGGCGTCCTCGCGTGCGCCTCGTGCGCTGGATGGGCGGCGCCGAGGTTCCGCCGGGTCGCCGGATGCGCGCCTGCGGGCGCCTCGCGGACGCCTCGTGCGCTGGGCGGGCGTGGTGAGGTTTTCCCTTGGTGCCCGCTCGGGGGCGCCTCGTTTCCGCCCCGTGCGCTGGGCGAGCGTGCCGAGGCTTCGGCTCGTGCCCGCCCGTGGGCGGCTCGTGGGCGGCTCGTGCGCGCTGCGGGTGTGCCGAGGTGTTCGCCCGGTGCCCGCCCGTGGGCGCCTCGTGCGCTTGGGCGGAAGTGTTTTGATCGCACCGCGTGGCTCGTATCACGGAGCTGGCGCCGCGTCGCTGGCACCACGTGTCTCACATCACCCAGCTTTCACCACGCAGCCTGCACTGCATCTGTTGCATCACATAGCATGCATCTCTCAGTTCGCAGCGCACTCCCTTCACAGCGCCATGAATCGCAACGTTTGGGGTCAATGTTGGCAAGTCCAGTCGTACTTAAGATCACACGTGCACGCATATGTGTGCGACGCGTACTATCATGTGCTGTGAGTATGTTTGTCTCTCTATCTCGTTCTCTCGTTCTCTCTCTCTCTCTCTCTCTCTCTATGTCGCGCTTCTTGGTAGTTCTGGCCTCCGTATAAGCATGAGCATGTGTGTGTACATTTGTGCACAATGCTCTGATTGGGGTGCTGTGAGCCTGAAGCAGTTCGGTCAAAAGTTGGCTCGCATGTATGGCGCTGTTTGTAACGTGTACCCGCAGACGGGTGTGACCGCCGAGTATGCCGCAGTGGCCGCCACGCCACTTCTTGCGCTTTACAAGGCCAGTCCGAGCTTTTGCCAGAATACGAAGTGGTCGTGGACTGCTCTCTGCCTCTCTCAAGCTATACAGTGGCCTTGGCATGCAGTGCCTCTCTAACGCGAGAGCTCGTCTCGAGGGAGTTTCTAGAGTTCAGGCCCATTTGAGGAGGATCCCATCATGGGCTGGAAAGAGCGTATCAGAATATGTGGCAACAGTGCCGCGGACGAGGGGGCGAAGGCTGGAACGAACCTTCATGCGCCTTTCTCCTTCTGTTTCGGATGACCTTGGGCTCTTGTTCTCTGTCTGTAAGGCTGTTGCCGACCTGGCCGCCTATCTTCTGGATCTCTGGCGCAGGACCAACCTGGACGGTGTCTCTTGGAAGCGTCCTGCGCCTCCTGGGCCTCCTCGGGATCAAGTCTCTGGGCGCTCCTGGGGATGGGTCGGAAGATTTTTGCAGTGCAGCGAGTGTCTCAAGGGCAATCATCTTCGTGAAGCCTCTACAAGGGAGATGTGCCTGCAAGCTCAAGATCTCGCCACATCGGCTACCGGACTTAGGCCACAGTTGCATCGTTGCAGACTGCAGCGATCACTTTTGTTTGCTTCTGCCAGCTGTTCTACTTACCACTGGTAGGCAACTGCGAGGGCTCGGGGGCCCTTGTCAGGCGCAGCCCTCCTCCCGTGGTAGTGTTCAGGTCGATGGAGGCCCCGCCGACAAGTGCTGGTCCACCCATAATGCCCGCAGACGCAAACTGTGGTCCAAACTCAGCAGAGGACTGTGGGGGGGGATCTGTCTCTCAGGCGCGGGAGGGAGGCTGGCAGCCCCGCCTTGGCGCTGAAGCACCTGCAGGGGGCGACGACGCTGAGGAAGACGCCTCTCATTTCCTGCTTCCCCCAGTCGGCCCTGCTGCTGCTGCTGCAGCGGAGCCCGGCCCTCTCACCAGGGTCAGGGGGGCTCTCGGGCAAGAAGAAGACGAGGCTCCCTCGGTGCCTGCCCCGGGGAGCCAGACCTGCTGACGGCAGGTTCGTGTCGTGTCGACCGGCGGCGACCCTGCCAGCGGCATTCATATTTTGAACGCTGCGGGCGACCCAGAATCTTTCGATGTGGAACGATTTGGTCGTTTCGGAAACGGCCGATCGTTCCAGGCGGAACGATCCCCGATGGTGTCGGGAGCCAACGCCGAAGTCGGCACGACACGAGCCTGACGCATCGAATCACGAGGGTCAGATAGAACGCCGCAGCCTCACACAACTCGGAGGGAGGAGAAGCGACACCAACACCACCAGGGGGCCCACCTAAGCGAGGAGGTCCATTCTCCCCGAGCTGAAGGCTGGGGATGTCTCGAGCGAGAGGGGGGGACCACACCACCAGGGAGACCCCCCTCGCCTCCTCACACCTCCTCGCCCTGGTGGTGTTGGTGTCGCCTTTCCTTGTCCCTGCACAACTGCTGCCCGGTGGTGCCGCTTGCAGGCCGTGCCGCGCCGGAGGGGCCCCTGCGCGTGCTGGGCTCCTCGCGGCTCCGTCTGCTCTCTTCGCGCCCGGTCCCCGCCCGCCGCCCGGCGGGCGGGCTCCTGGTGCCTGTGGTGTGTGTTGCTCCACTCTCTGGCAGCAGTGCCCGCTCGGCTGGCGGGCAGTTCTGGCCGCGCAGGGCCAGGTGCCCAGCTTGTGGCGGGTCGGGCCGACACTGGGCTGGCCGCTTCCTCAGGGGGCCACACGCGAACCCGACCCCTATACCCCCCCCACGACTTCTGGGGGGAGGGCGGGGGTCACTTCGCTCGGGAGGTCCCGAGCGAAGGGAACCCCACCCTCCCCCTCAGAAATCGTGGGGGGTATGGGGGTCGGGTTCGAGTGTGGCCCCCTATTCCTCCTTGATCCCTCGTCTGGCACAGCACCGCCGGCGTGCCGTGCCTGCCGCCCGGCGGCCCAGGCCGCACGCGCCTGGCCTGTCTGCCCCGGCAGGGGCCCCGGCGCCGTGCGGCTGCCCCGCTCGTCGGTCCCACGGGCGCCCCTGCGTGCTGCGTCGCGTGTGCGGCAGGCGCGTCCCGACGAAAAACAAAAAAAATATACCCCAAGAGTGGTCAAAAAATAATCAGAAAATAACGTCTCGGGACTATTTTTCGAGCATTTGTTGACCTCTCGGGGGCATTTGGGGGGTATTCTCTATTTTTCTTAGAAAATCCCCCTGTAGGGGGACACGCCCGGGCCATCAGAGCCCTTCAGGGGGTTCGTTGGCCGTGGGTTTCAGACATATGTTTCATGTGTTTTTTTTACACCCGTTGCCTTTGTCTGGTGTATGTATACACATGTATACCTATGTGCACATGTATGTAATTATGGATTTAATTATAGACACACCTGTATAGTTGTTTCTCTCCACCCCCCGCTAGTATCCTCAAGCTGCCTCTCTTTCTCACTCCCCCTTTCTCCCTCAAGTCTCTCTGCCACCTGCTCTCGTCTCTTTATCTCTCCTCTCTCTCTCTCTCTTTCCCGCTTTCCTAACGCCGACTGTTCTCCAGAGCGTGAATTACCTACCCCGCTTTCGCTTCCAGGCAAAACCAAGCCATACCACGCGCCTCCTCGTCAAGCGGCCTGACCAGTACGGGCTGCAACTTGGCATCGTTTGGTATCTCCTGGAAGCGAGGGTGGTCAAAAGCGAGGCAGGTTTGTTTTCCCCCTAGCTCTCGCGCCTTCGTCTGCCCGCTGTCGGGGCGTGGACCCCGCAGGCGATGGGCGCCGCGCGGTGCCGCCGGTTCCAGGTCAAGGCGCCGCCGCGCGGCGCTGCCGCCTGCCCCCTCCGCTCCTCGGCCCCCGAGCTGGACCAGCCGCCTCGAGCCAGAGCTATGTCGGGCGCGTCCCCCTACAGGAGGATTCTGGAAGAAAAATGAAAAGATACCCCAAACATACACCAAAAAGGTCAACAAATACCAAAAAAATAGTCCCCAGACTATTTTTTCATTATTTGTTTTATTATTTTGGGTTTTATATATATATATATATATATATATATATATCGTCGAAAATCCCCCTGTAGGGGGACAGGCCCGACTTAAAGCCAGAGCGAGGGTCAAGCGCCACCCCGGGTCTCGAAGGATGCCCTTGTGCATCCCCAGGCCGAAAGATTTTTCCTCTTGGCGCTGAACCTCGCGGTCCCACGCGGTGCACGGGCCCTCTGGGAAATCACAGCGGCGAACCCAATCAGGGTCGCACGGATCCGATATCCAACCTTACCGTAGTCGTGAAATCGCGGCGGATCCCATTTCCGTGCGCGCGGGTCCCATTTCTGAATTTCGGGATCCGCGTCGGACCCTATTGTTCACGGCGGATCTCATTTCTACCCCGTTTTGAATTTGGGGGACGGGGGTGGCTTTCTTCGACGTCACGAGGAAAATCTTTCGTCCTGCGTAAGTCTGTCCTTCGTGTTCGAGCTCTCTGCCTTGGACTGCGTTTCGCGTCCGGGATCGATTCCTCAGCCCCCAGATGGACTGGCCCCTTAATTACAGCCAGCAGGAGGGTTCAGAACAATCTCTTCGTCGCCATGGAGCGAACGGGTTCTCAGGGCAACGGGTCCTGGAGTTGTTTCGCCGTCTTCGGGCTACGGGGAGCCTTCACGAACCTTCGGACCGTCAGCCACACGACACTGGATGCAAATTCGGTCCAGGCGGCAAGCTCAGAGGAGCAACGTGCCATGATAACGATACGCTCCAAGATGTCCAGGATTTCCTTGGTCCCCTCTTGTTCCACGCGGGCTGTAACCACGAGGACCGCTGCGTACTCCATAATTCCTGGAACGCCTCTTGAGCCAATCGCACCATGACGTCACAGTCGTCAACAGCCCTCGGGGTCCACGAGCCGCTTCCCTCAGGACCGGTTCCTTATCTGCCAACCTAGCTTCGGGGAGGTACCCTTTTAATTTTCCTCACGTCCGGGAGATCCACCTTGGAATAAACCTTTGCCAAGGGCGCCCTCGAGGGCGCGAAGATGCTCGCGCTTCGCGGTTCGGCTCCGATTCCTCCTCCTCCTCCTCCTCCTCCTCCTCCTCCTCCTCCTCCTCCTCTCCCCTGGGAGGCGGCGCGAGAGCGCGAAGCTATTCGCGCAGGCGCGCAGGCGCGCAGGCGCGAAGCGGGGAGCCGCCCCGGTGTGCCTCGGGCCACCCATTGCAGGAGGGAGCCGTGGGCGGTCGGCGGGGGGGCTCTCGGGCTCCCGGCACGCCGTCTCCGTGGCCGTGCTTCGGTGGCGCCTCGGCGCCGCGCCTCCGCCGCGCCAGCCTTCGGTCAGGCCTGTCTCGGGAGGAGAAAGAGCACACACAGACACAAGTAGTCGTCGGTTCCCAGGAACAGAAATGTGGGAAAATGGGGGAAGTGAGGGGGAGGACAGACACCCAGAAAATGTAGGAAGGGATTGGGGATTCTGCTAGTTGTGTCTACTTATTTGTGTGTCCCAGGGCCCCTTCACTGTCCCTCTACAGGAGGAATGCTCAAGAACAGTAGAAATCATAGTCTGGGGACCATTGTTTGAGCATCATGTTGGCTCTTGTCGAGCTTTTTTGGGGGGGCATTGGCTTTCAGCGCCGCCTGTGGGGGGGCAGGCCCAACTTGACGCCAACCACGAGTTGCCGCTGGGCCCTCGCTGCGGGTGCAGTTGTCGTCGCCCTCAAATCGCGCAGCGATTTTGAATGGGGGACGGGGCAACTCCAAGGCAGACAGGAGTCGGCATCTCGACCCCTACGCGTCGTAGTTTCCTGGCCCTGCGCGTCCTTGTCCTTTCACGTGCGCTCTCAGCTTGGGCGCCTCCGTGGGGCTCTGCGCTTGTGTCTTTTCACGACCTGACGCTGCTTCGCGTCAGGTGGTTCCGTTCTCACAACCGAGCGCTGTTTCACATCAGACGGCCCTTCTCTCTCCTCCCTTCCGTGGGCGCTTGGCTTGGCACCGCAGGCGTTCGTCTAGCTTTGCTGCGAGCTCGCCTATTCGAGGCCCTTCATCGCTTCGAAGCCGCAGTCGCGGGTGCTGGGCTGCCTCCGCGCAGCGGGCTTGCAAGGCTGCACGTTGCCGTTGCCTGCAGCACTCGGCGACCAGGGTGCTGTGGCGCACGCGGGTCAGCGCAGATGGTGTTCGAGACCCATCTTCATCCACCCTGTCTGTTGCACACTGGAGCCGGGTCGGCGCTCCCGCCAGGTGCGCCTCAGAGTATTCCCGTCGGGCCCAGTCTCGTGGCGCTTGGCCGCCCACCCGCCCGACGGTGGCGCGGAGCGTCGGCCTGCCGTCGTGGTGGGGCGTGCCCTCAGAGAGTCTCGGGGGCCTCCTGCGGAAGGGGCAGTCCTTCCCAGACCACTGCGACCTTGCACTTCCGGTGTCGTCGGCCGAGCCTCCGGCCAGAGGGCCGTGCCGCGGCTTCGCGCTGCGCAGAACACCTCGCAGAGCGCACGGGTGCCACCACGGAGGGCGGGTTCCCCGTGGCGCGCCCCCTGAGCGACCTCTCCGCGAGGTGGCTGCAAGGTCTCCGTGCGGCAGCTGCGGGGCAGCGAGGACAAGTAGAATTATGTCGGGCGTGTCCCCCTCCAGGGGGACTTACAACGAACAATTAAGAAATACCCCAAACATAACCAACAAAAATCAAACAATGGTCTGGGGATTATTTTTTGATTATTTTTTGATCCTTTTTGGGGGGGCATGTTTGATGATTTTTTATTTTTCGTCGAAAATCCCCCTATAGGGGGACACGCCCGACTTAAAAGTAGAAAGGACCATGTAGGAAAAACCACCCGGACCGGACAATTGGCGTTTACTGAACGGCCCTGGGCGTTTACCAAACAGCCTTGCCCTGTTTGATTCCTTCCTTGGGTGCGTTTACTCAACGGCTTCTCGTGTCGGGGTTGGTTCTCATCGGGGTGGATGTTCTGCCCTGAAGTGTGCTCGGCGCATCCCAGCGCTGACTCCCGAGTCGGGCGCGTCGCCCCATCTGGCTTCTGCGCGCGTGGGCGCTATGCTTGCACAGGCGGCACGACGGCTCAACACGGCCCCTTCTTTGGAAACTAAAAATATGTGTGTATATATACATATATACAAGGCTGCATTGGCGCTGCGCGCCATGCACCTTGGTCCTCTGAGTTTCGCACGCACGCGGGGTGCGTGCGCGCGTACACGCCCGCATGCACGTATACACGCGCACGCGCATGCACGTTCTGCACATATATCTATGTGTATGCTATACATGTATATTGTTGCATATGTGTATACCTTTTACATATAAGCATGTGTATATGTAAATGTATATGTCAATCGCAGGTGTTTGTTGGTGCACGCACCTATATGCAATTATGGGTGCGCATACACATGCGTATAGCAGGCGGTAATGGCCTGACCGCCTGCTCAGGGCATCTCGCAACTCAGATGTGCGAGGGTCTCAGGCGAAAATAGCCAGACTACTACGGCGCAATGCATCTCCGATGTCAGCGTTGCGAGGATGTTTCAAGCGAAAGTGAACTGACCACCTCAGCTGAGGACATACCCGAACCTGGGATTGCGAGGATGTCTCAAACGAAAATGGCCTGAACACCTCAGCTCAGGGCATCCCTGAATCCAAAGTTGCGAGGATGTCTCAGGTGAAAGTGGCGGATTACTCTGCGGCAGGGCATCTCGGAATCCAGAGTTGCGAGGAAATTTCTAACGAAAGTGGCTGGAACACCTCAGCTCAGGGAACCCCGGAACTCAGAGTTGCGAGAAGATCTCAAGCGGAAGTGGCCAGACAACCTTGGGGTAGAGCTTCTCTGGGGTCAGAGTTGCGAGGATGTCTCAGCCGCCAGTGGGAAGGAGGAAGGCGAAGGGAAAGAGTAATGGAAGAGTCCCGCGGACCCGAGGACAGGCAGGCACGAACGCTCAGGATCGGAAGTGATGGCATGGAGGCTGGAACTGACGCGGACGCAAGACGCTGGGAGCTGGCCTCCCAGAGCGTTGAAAGACAGGAGGACCTGTGGGGCAGGGGATCTCGGAAGTCTGTGCGAGGGAGTCTCAAGCGAAGAGTGGTCTGAACACCTCAGGCCGGAAGGTCGAATAACCCCCTTGCAAGAGCGTCCGAGCAGCCCCCGGGGAGTTTCCCAGCAGGTCGAGCAGCCCGGGAAGGGGCTTCCCAGCAGCCCAGGGAGTCCGAAATGCGTTCGGGGGGATGTGTGTGCACATGTGAATTCATTTTGCGTATGTATGCAAGTGCATGTGTATGTATGTATGTACGTATGGATATTAATGACAACGCCTTTCAACGTCTGAACGTCCCAAGAGCGTTTGACGCTCGTTTTACACGGTAATGTATTGTTAAACGATGTCGACATCCGTGTAATTCATTGCTTTACAGGGGGATTCCATGGAAAACGCTCTGAGGCCGTCTTGGGCCGTTCGTGGCCCGAAAAAGCGAAAACCGAAACAACCTTCAAACCTTTTCAACAAATCTGCTGATATGGATCGATGGCATGTTTCTTAAGCCCCAATGGCTACAGTACCTCAACTCACAATCAAGTGCATGTTGCATGGATGTCCGCACGCCTCCTCAGCGCGGCACCCTCGAGGGTGCAAGCTGGCCTTAGCAACTTGCACTCGTCCGTAGCTCCGAACTCGTGGCTCCAGCGCATCATCGGGTGATCAGTCCGATCGACGCTGAAGCGAAAAGTGTGCTCTGGAAACGCTCCGCCAGAGCACGTTGAAACTAAACGCGTTGTACCGGTGTCTCTCTCTCTGTTGCTGCCTGCAGCTCTTCCTAAAGCGGGCTGTGGCCTACAGCCTCGCGCCAGCTCCCTCTGTCGCCTGCGGGAGCTTCTCAACCCCACGACACTTCTGGCAGGGGCACGAACCGAGGCTGAGAACGATGCCTCGCGTACGTGCAAGGGCCCTGACTGCCCTTCTCCTCGCAGCGCTTGGGTGCTGGCTCCACCTGCACGCCTGTGTCTCGAAGGCATACGGTCACCTCACGGCGCTCCTCGCGGCGCTCCTTCAGCACGTGCCTCTCGATGAGCACGCCCGTCGCAATCCCAATGAAGATCAGGATGACCATCATGAACGCGGTGAGCTGCATGCCACCGCCCTGCGACTCGCTCCCGCCTGCCGAGCAGGCGATCTCCACGACCGTACCCTGGGCCCCCGTGCTGGGCTCCATGTGCGGCGTGCCGTTGGCGGTCCGCGCTGCCGCGAACAGCAGCAGCGTCGCCAAGACCTGGCTGGCCTCGTCCGTCCCGAAGCCAGCGATCTTCCTGCTCACGATCCCGAGGTTCCTCATGCAGGTCTGCAGCGCCTCCTGCTCCAGAGGCTTCGTGCCTGCATCACTCGGGTTCTTCTTGCCGTCCACTCTCTCAATCTCGAACTGCTTCTCCCTCAGCGCCTGCTGGTGCCAAAGGTACCTGGTCTGTAGATGCCGTACACGCCCGCAGCCCACTCTGTGGATCATCCCACGGGCCGCGTCCGAGTCCGTGCGAATGATCAGCCTCACGTCTGCTGGTACACCAGCTCCGAGCTCAGCGATCTCGAGCATCACCTGCTTGACCGTGATGCCGCGCGCTGCCGCCGAGCCGATGGCGTAGAACTCCGACTCTGCGCTGCTGAGTGCAACAGCGCCCTGCGTGATGCTCCAGCTCTCGATGAGATGACCAGCGCCAGGATCTCCGACCTGGATGGTCCCCGCCGACGTGCTCTTGCATGTCTGTACGTCGCCGCTCCAGTCGCCGTCGGAGTAGACCACGTCCGTCCACTTCTCCTGGTAGAGGAACTCGATCCCGACGTCGTGCGTCCCCGCGAGGTAGCGTGCCAACCTCCTGAGTCGCATCATGCTCAGGCGCGTCGGATGTGCCATATCCGACGCCAGCTGCTTGGTGGCGAACTGGATGTCGAAGCGGTCTGGCCCGATGTACATGCAGATGCCCGTGCCCCTGCAGTAGATCGCCTTCTCGGTCCGCTTCAGCTCCTCCAGGGCATCCCTCGCGTTCTTGCCAGTCGCTCGGCTGACAGGCGTCGGGGAAGGCTTTACATTCTTCAGGTCCAGCAACGTGCTCAGGTTCTCGAAGTGCTTCGGGTCAGGCAGCAGCATGAACCCCTTCGCGTTCCAAAGTAGAAGCCGTCGTAGCACCAGGCCTTGCTCTTCAGCGGCTGGACCAACTCTCGGGAGGATCTTGGCCTTGAAGCTGCCCGTGATCATTGCGTCCACCTTGTCCAGCTCGTGCGGCTCGCCCTCGGTGTAGAAGTCATCCCCGTGGAAACCTGACAGGCAGTCCCACTCGCTGTGGTACGCCAGGCAGGGGACCGTCGACAAGATGTTCCAGCCGTGCTCTCGGTACGTGTCGCGCACCAGCTGCTGGAAGTCCGCGCTCGACTCACGCATCCCGTACAGCGCCTTACTCACCAGCCAGAGCCAGTCGGGGCAGTTCAGCTCCTTCGGAGGCTCGGCCCACACGGGCTCCTTCAGTTCAGCGTGGAAGAAGGCCACCGAGATGTCGTGAGCTGCGAGCTGCCTCGAGTTGCCTCTCGACGCCAACCTCGAGATTACCAGCTTCAGCGCCCATGTCGGTGGTGTCCCCGCGTAGTGCTCTGGCGCAAAGACGCCTCCTGCGAAGTCACGCGCGACGATCCGCGATCGCACGCAGTCTGGCCCCTTCCTGGTGTGGAAGAGCTTGGTGGAGATCACCCTCTCGCCAGCTGGCTTCTCGCTGCGCTTCTTCCAGACCATCACCTCGAACTCGTCCATCTCGTCGAGCTCGCGCTTCACGCCCTGCAGCACCAGCTCCTTCGGCAGCACCTCGCCCGTGAACTGGTCGTGGAAGCTCCCCGCGAACAGCTCCCCGTCGAAGGTTGGAGGTGAGACCTCCTCCTCGCAGAGCGCTCCGAGAGTCATGGGTTCACCGTCTGGGTCAGTGTCCATGGGCGCAGCAGGAACCACCTCGATCACTGGCCTCTTTCTTGCTGGCTCAGCTGCTTCAGCATCTCTCTCTCTCTTCGGTGCTGCGGCTGCTGGCAGTTGCAGTCCTGGAGGTGGGCTTATCTCCTGCTGCGGTGCGGGAACTGCTTGTTGTGGTACTGGCTTCGCAGCCTCGGCGCCTGCGGCACCCACAGCTGGCTGCAGCTGGATCGGCTGCTCCGCCTTCGCCTTGAAGATCTCCTCGAACCGAGCCCTGCACGCCACCGTGTGCACGCTGGACAGCCCCAGACAAGCTGGGCAGTCTGGGCTCTCGCCGTGCTCCTGGATCAGGGCACGCGTGATGTACCTCCTTCTCGTACTCACCACCGGTGTCTCCGTCGTAGGCGCTCTCGGGTTCCAGGGCACACCGATGAACGTCCTGAACTCCTCCTGGACCCACCGCTCGCTGTCGTCGCGCCTCCTGAACGTCCTGCTGAACTCAATCCCTCGCGCCGTGCCCACGATGACTTCATCACTCTCGTCCCTCCGCCCGAGGAACACTCCTGTGGCCCAGCGCGGGTCGAGCTTCGACTGGTCCTTGCGGATCAGCTTGAAGTCCACAGTCTCGCCCACACACGCCAGGGGTGACGCGAACTCCTTGCCCTTGATCGTCGCCCAAGCGCTCCTTCCGTCGCTCTTCGTGACGAACCTCGTGAGGACGTAGGCCGCATGCCTGACCAGCCACGGCAGGACCACCGACTGACTCGTCACCTTGGTCTTGAACTTCTCCTCGATGACGGCCACGTACGTGCGGGTGAGTGACTCCACTCTACGCACCACGGCCTCGATCACGCCGTTCGCCTTGCTGTCGTGCTTCGTGGACTTCTCGACTGTCGTGCGGTGGTGCTCCACCCGACGTCGGCGTAGCTCGCCTAGCAGTGCCTGGATGGCGGGCTCCTGGTCCGCCCTCAGGACGACCTCTCCAACACCCCATGCCTCGAGGTGGAAGAGTACGAACTCCACTGCAACGTCGTCAACTCCCTTCTTCGACACCTGCGTGGCTCCAACAGCGCCTGGAGGCCTCAGCACGATGACCAGTATCGTCGCCTTCTGCAGCTCGCCCTCCCGCGCTAGGAAGCAGTAGTCCAGCGCGAGCTTCGCGACGGTCGAGACGGACTCCTGGCTCCTGTGCTGATCCTCAGTCGCCTGGCCCGTCAAGCAGTACCTGCACCAGGCACGGAATGGACAGTGGGTGACCTCGTGCTTTGCCCTCTCGTCTGCGCTCGGCCAGACCGCTACCTTCTTGGTGGTCGCGCTCCTGGCCTCCTCGCTATCCTCGAGCTCTAGCTTGGGCCGACCGCCAACGTCCTTCGGCTCGTCGCTCTTCTCCGTCGTCGGGCACAGCTCGCCAGTCGAGCACCGACGAGCTCGGATGACGAAGATGCCGTTCTTCCGCTTCAGCTCGATGGACTTGCCCTTGCTGATGTTGTCCTTCACGTGGCTCGCCAAGTCCTTCGCCTGCTCGGGCTTCACGATGTAGCTGCCTCCGTCGTGCAGCCACACACCGTAGCCCGCATCAACTGCAGAACTCGCTGCCATGATCGGCTTGCGAACCCCTTTGGCCTCGAACTTCACTGTCAGCGGCTCGCCAGAGTTCTGGTCCGTCATGCTCACCTCCTTCTTCCCGTAGTGCTTAAGCTCGTTGCCGTCGGCCTGGTAGAGCACCGTCCCACTGCACTCCTTGATGGCCACCTCAGGCGCCCACGAAGGTGGGCAGACGCTCCTTGCAGCACACGTGTCAAAGAGCAGGTCGAAGTCCGCGCCCTCGAGGGCGCAGCAGTAACCCGTCTCGATCTCGTTGGAGCTCTCGCCCTCCATCAGCGCGAACACGAAGCCATCCTGCTCGTCGTAGTAGTAGCCGTCGTCAGACAGGGTCGTCAACGCCGCCGTATCGCCATTCTCGCTCTCAAGGCGCTTGCCTGTGATCTTGTCAACTGGCTTGCCTGCGTAGCGTCCAGACTTGTCTGGCTTGATGTCCTTGCTTGCTCGGTCCTTCGCTAAGATCCTGCACTCCTGCTTCGTGTGGTTCGGCTTGGCGCAGTAGAAGCAGACCTTCTTGTTCTTACCTTTTCCGTCGTGGCTCTTTCCTTTGCCGCT